TCTAGTGTTCAAGAACTTACCTCGGCATAAGGGACGAGTCCCTTGGCAAAGGCGAGTTACCTCTAGATAAATTTTAAAAATAATAAAATGTTTAAAAATAAAAGAAATGCAGTAAAAGTAAAATAAAATTAAAAACAACATTAAAAAGTCCAAATAAGTTTAAACAAGTATAGAAATAAATGGATTAAAAAATAATTTATAGTTAGGGATATTTTAAAACATTTATTAAAAAATAATAATTAAAGTAGCGATTATGGCGAAACACACCCACATCCAAATTATATATTGGAAAATTTATAGCTTGAATTTTAGTTGAGCTCTTTTTTTCGCCTCTCCAGAAATCTAAGCTAATGTGCCCTTGAAAAATTGTTATTACAAAAGCCCCTCAAAAAAGTTTGATTTTACCCTCCTATCTTTTTTTCTCATTTTTTTTTCTAAACTACCCCTACTTCGGACATTGAAGGTTGAACTCATAATCTTACTTGAGACCTTGAAAGTTTGTAGTTGATGTTTGGAGAAAAATTAACAAAAGGTGTTAGCTATAACTTTTTTGATGAATTTTTTTTTATGAATATAAATTTGGGCAATTAAAAAGGTGTCAAATGTCAATTTAGACCTTAAAAGTCTAAAGTTGGTGCAGAAAAGAACAACAAACTAGAAATTTAAATTCATACCTGAAATTCTATTTCCATATCCTCTTATGAAATTTTAAGTTCTAAAAATGATACAAATCAAACAGATCTATAAACACTTGAAAATCTTGTAAAGAAACTATATAGATAATGTATTACAGGATATAGTAGTTTTGAACTTGAAATCTATAATAGGTGATACCTTATTTAAAACTTTTACCATTGAATTAACCAACTACAATACCCTTTAGAAATAAGATTGAAATACAAGTAATACTCCATGAAGTGCTAAAGTTATGTTAGAAAGGTCTAAAAAAACTTGAAAGTGTTACAGTCGTACATAATCAAATTCAACTCTTTTCAACGACGACTATTTTAATTTTCAAATAATAGATATTAATGTGAAGTACTTCCTTTCCAATTTTCTTTTTATGGAATTGGTTACTTTCTACTTATAATGATGCGTTTCTTAAACTCAAAGAGGCCACCATATAGAGTCCGTTCTAAGCCAAATACGTAGCTACAATCAATATGAGAAAAAATGTGTAAAATGTATTAGTTCCTATTATATCAAATAGGAGAATAAAATAGCACCACCTGAGTTCCTCACAACTCTACTGATCCTTACCGAACCTGGATTCCGAGAGAACTCCTGTCAAAATTTAACTTAAAGCAATTCGAAAAAGGTGACTTCCATCTATCTTTAGGTCTCAAATGTATGAAAGAGTTTCTAACGACCTCCTTCATATTTATCAGAATGTCCAATTTTGAGACACCAACTCCGTCATTTGTAATAAAAAACCAATTCCATAAGGTATTTAAAATTCTCTCGTCAACCTCATCTTGATTCAAAACTCTACACTCAAAAGTTCACCTATGTCTCTCCTTCTATACAGCCCCTGTGAATGCCTATCAATCAATATTAACCGTATCCCCACCAACGGAAAAACCCACCCCCAGACAAAAGAAGTAAAAGCACAATGAAGAAAAAGATGGTTCCTGTTTTCACAAACCAAGTCATAGCCATAAGTCGAAATTAGTGTATATAGCAATAATTCCAAATTACTAAGGACCTTTCTCAAATTACTGTATATATAGCATAATTTCAAATTGCAAAGGTTCTGTTTCTCTCTCTCACAATTGAAACAAATTGTAACTCTCAACTCATAATGTACTCTATTCTTCATGTGACTGTGTTACGCTAACGTAAACAATGTTTCAAATGTTTGAACCCAACCCTGGACTCACCAGGCGTTCCATTCCAATTTGCTGGGTCCAAGTCAAGCTATTCCCCAATTGGATTCAGTTGTGCTTGCAAAAAAAATTTTTTTAAAAAAAAAAGAAAAAAAAAGAAAAAAGTAAATAAAAGTACAACGGAAGAATCACACAATTACAATGTTCTTCAAATCCAAATCACCTTCTCCTTGAACTTGACCTAACTCAGGAATCACCAAAGTTGGCTCGGTGATTTTTAAATTAAGCATATAGTTGATATGAATATGCAGACGCATATGTACATGTGTCCTCTCTATACTATCCAATTTTGCGATGCATTTTGAGTCTAGTATTTTATGTATATATAATCTACAATACGAAGATCCTTAATATGTAAAAAAAATTAAATTTTTTTTTAAAAATTGAAGAATAAATCTTGACCATCCATTTTGATTTTTTGTGGGAGCTCTACTTTTTTGCGTCTTCCTTTAAGACAGATGCTTGCGGCATTAGAGGGATGCAATTCTACAATTAGGGGTGGCAACATGTCAGGTTCAAAGGTTGGACGCATGCCCAAACCCGTCAGGTACTGGATCTATCCTGTCGGGTACATTGCCACCTTCCTGATGAGTTTTTTTTTTTTTTGTCTTTTTTTTACCGTCATATACCCATATTATTGGCAACAAGATCGTGGTCCCCCATAATTAGATTTCAAACTATCTCATTTGTTATTTAATAGCTAAATATGATTATGAGTTCTTATTATATACGATACTTAATATGCCCAAACGAATAGAGCTTGAAATATTTTCTTCAACAATACATCGGCATTAGTCGGGTACAAATTGGGTCCAACCGGATGTGAACCCTAATAGTGTTCAGATCTAAGTTATGGACCCGGATTTGACCTGCCAGACCCATACACATACCCATATTAGGTATACCCAGCCGATCCCGGGAATTGGGTCCATTGCCACCGGTATCTACACTTGCGTCTCGTCTCCTGACGCCGTGTACACTTTTCCTTAAATTAGTAGCCATAAGTACCTAATATTTGAGACCTTGTCCAGCATGTCTCATAAATAATTGTATTCCACAAATTAATGAAGGATGAAAAACAAAAAAAATCTCACCATTACCATTTAATAATAATACCAACGTCACGTATTGACTGTCGACTAATGTGTACCACACATTTGCAAGAAAACGGAGTAAGAATTCCGTGACCCACACGGTATTTTCAACGCCATGGTTACCTAACCCTTATTCTTCAAGAAAAGAAGGTGTATACTATACTCTTGTGGGAGCATGTAGTATACATTTACTCCCTCTCTCATAGAAGATCTACTTGGGAGAAATTTATTTATCTAAAATTTCGTGAACTGCTTAAGAATCTAATCACTAGATGGTCATTTCGAAGGGAAAACTTTGAAGTTTGAGTTCTCTAAAACTTAGATCTCGCCCTTTAAAAAAATGGACGGTCTCTATCCAATTTTGAGATGCTATTTTTTTTTTTTTCAAGCCCAGAGAGAGTGCGGTTTGAAATTTTTTTTTATTGAGGTTAGTCTATAGGTTGAACATGTTATATTTACAAATTTTGGGTCCTAAAAGTGCTTTTACATTTTGGCTTAACCTTGGGAAGTAAATCAATAGTATATGCTTGTATGGGAGCATGCATTTTGGCAGTCTGATATGTGTAAAACTGTAAACACAACTTCATAGGCGTCTTCTAAAGCAGCCGCTGCAAAACTTTGCTTGTATATTTACTATATATTTTACTTGTTTCATCAGTTCATAATACCACACCTATCTCTCTTTCTCTTCACTCTTTCCCCATGGCCAACCTCTTTAACCCTAGTTTTGTCTTTCTCCTCTCTCTCTTCCTAGCTCATCAAGCCACTGCCACAAGCCACCACCACCATGATCTCAAATCTCTCCATTTCTCTCTCTACCAACAAGAAACGATCAACAAGACCGGTTACATCGTCGTAAACGGAGTAGCCGGTCCGCCCGTTGGCCAAACGACCACTCCCTTCGGCACGGTATTCGTTTTCCGCGACCACTTAACACTAAGGGCTAATGCTTCATCAAAGGTAGTTGGGATATCAGAAGGGACCTCCATAACTTCAGCTCTAGATGGCCTTCAGAGCATTTCTGTGGCCAAGATCACACTAAAGATGAAAGGAATGGTTGGATCTCTCTCTATATTAGGAAGTGTGCATAACACTAGAGCCTCTAAGTTGCCAGTTGTAGGAGGAACTGAGGATTTCATGTTTGTTCAAGGGTATATTGTGTCCTCTCCAGTTGATTTACAGGGTATAGATGTTACTTACAAGGTTGAGTTCCACTTATACTGGCCTCCCTATGCTAGCTTTGCAAAGTTTTGAGGAATTGGAGGTGCAAATGTAGGGATTTTTGGTGTTTGGAGGTGAGATCACCTATTTTTATTTTCATATAGTTAGTTTTTTGTTTGATCTCTCTACTTTTGTCTATGTTTTTCTTTAATAAATCTTTTGAGATACGTTATTTATAGGGCTACATTCCTATCAAAATAAGTCAAGCCTCAGCTTATAACTCATCAAAAATTACAATTCAAGTGTTGAAAAACCTCTAAATCGATAATCTCTGCTTGAACATTATGGTTGTAAATTAAAATTAGGATTTTTAGTTCTAAAAATAGTATATATTGCAACAAATAATCCAGACCATCCCTTTCACCCTAAAATAAGTGTTATCAGATCTGCAAGATCTATACTTTTTTTTTATTTTCTTTTCAAGTTTTATTGTTAGTGTTGAAAATTGATCTTAGAGCCATCATGAAGATTTTCGATACCCCAAATGCCTTTCCGATGAGGATTTTGAGATGAGGCTTTATTTTGTTGTCATAAAGCTTAGGTCCTATCGAAACTTCATCCCGTAAATTCTATTTCCCTTGATGATATTTTATTGGGTGCCGTTTCCATAAGGTTGCAACCTTAAACAATCCAACTAAGGTGCACCTTCAAATTTTATCATAATATATATTTTTGTTGTAAAATGCTCTTGAAATTACCTCAAAATCTATGTTTATATCTAATTATAAAATTTTAAATTCAATAAATGATTAAAATCAAGTAGATCTATAAATATATGAAAATCTTGAAAATGGACTGTGCAGATAATATGTTGTAAGATGCACTATTTTTGAGACTCAAAATCTTTTTATTTTTCATAGTCATACATCTCGATGTCGAGATGATCAATCGCATGGTTTTTCAACATTAAAAAAAACCTTTTTGATGGATTTTTGAGGTGCATCCGTAGTTCTACATTTGAATGTTGCAACCTTATATAAACTTTTTTCTTTTTTATTTTATGCTTGGAGGGTACAACAATGACATTATGTTAGAGAGAGAGAGAGTTTTGTGTTTGGAATTGCATCCAGCAACGTGGGCAGAGAGAGAGTCATTCGATTTTATCGAGATCTTTGATGTTGAACCAGGTTTTGAATATTTGAACTTCGAATTATTGGGGTTGCTTTTATAAGTCCCCGACTCGGACTATTCTCGTGCTGGCTCCCTCAAGCACCTAATTTTTATGTAGGTTTTGAATCCAAATTTGTTAGAAGTCAATGATATACGCTATGATGATCATGGCTTTATATAATAAAATAAAATTTTAAATCATTTTTTTGAAATTTGTTTTTCTATCTATTGAATAAGAATTTTTAGCTGTGGAGGTTCTTCTTAAAGATGAACTTTTACAAGTCAGCATGGTCTGCTGGCTCACAAAATACTTTCCTTAAATTATTACTCTTGAGTGCTTGCTTGGAAAAGAAAGAGGAGAGATAGAGAGGAATTGCACCCAGGTAGTGTGGCAGAGAGAGAGAGAAATCATTCAATTTTATCGCTATCTTTAAAGTTGAACCATGGTTTGAATCTTTGGGCTTCTATAGACTATTAAATACCAAAAGGGTGCAATTTCTATAAAATTGCAATCTTAAACAATTCAAAGTGCACCTCCAAATTTTATCATAAAATCTAATTTTGGTGTAAAAAATTCTTATGATTACCCCTGAGGGAATAAAGATGTAGAAATGTAAAGTTGTTTTAATGTAGAAATGTATGGTTGATTACCTCATAGTGGTTTTTGATCCAAAAATTATTATGATTACCTTAAAATGTAGAAATAAAGATGCACCTAAAAAATCCATTGGAAATGGTTGTTTTAATAATGTAAAATCCTCTAATTGATCATCTCGACATCAAGATATATGTATATGAAAAAAACATGATTTGAGTCTAAAAAATAGTGTATCTTGCAACACATTATCTAGACCGTCCATTTTCAAGATTTTCATATGTTTATGGATCTACTTGATTTTAACCATTTTTTAAGTTTAAAATTTTATAATTAGATACAAAAATAGATTTTCAGATGATCCTAAGAATATTTTACTATATGTTATGATAAAATTTGGAGGTGCGTCTTAATTGGATTGTTTAAGGTTGCAACCTTATTATAGAAACCACACCCTTATCTGAAAATCTATTTTTATATCTAATTATACAATTTTAAACTCTAAAAATGGTTAAAATCAAGTAGATCTATAAACATATAAAAAATCTTGAAAATAGATGGTATAGATAATGTGTTGTAAAATACTGTATTTCTAGGACTCAAAATCTTCTTTTTTTTATATTAATATATCTCGATATCGAAATGAGCAATTAAATGGCTTTTCAACATAAAAACAACTTTTTTCCCATGAATTTTTGAAGTAAACCTTTATTTTTACAACCTTATATTAACTTTCCATAAACAAAAGGCTCAGCTTTTAAGACAAAAAGTAAAGTTTCACCGCGCAACTTCATTAGAAAAATGCAGTTTTTGCATCAGAAACCACTATGATATCTTGAAAATCCATTATGCCTATTTTATTTTAAAATTTAAAATTCCAAATATAGTGCAAATCTAACGGATATGAGAACACTTGAAAATGGGCAAGTTAGAACACTTGAAAATGGGCAAGTTAGATAGTTTACACTCTCTTTAGGGTTTAAAATCTGGTTTTCTCATATCCAATATTTTCTAGGTCTAAATGTTTAATCTAAGGGGCTTTCTCCGAAACTGCACTTTTTTGTGAAAATTGATTTACAAATCTTTTTTTTCAGTGTTTCAAAAATTGGTTTTGTCGGGCGAACTAGCCTTTTGGAAATCCTATCCAAATTGGTGAATTGTGTTCATTCTTAGGGGTAAGAATTGACCTGATATGGATCTGAAACCCAGATTTCGGAACCGATTCGGATCTGGATATGGACCCAACCGAATTGAAATGAGGATTGGATTCAAGTGCAATTGGATCCGATCCAGATCCGACCCTTTTTTTATAGTAAATTTTTATTTTATATATATAATTTTTTATATAGTATATATATAATCTGGATTCGAATCCAGATCTGGTTTGAACTTGGAGCCGACCCAAAACCGATGTATACTATTCGGATCTGGTCAGATCCGGCTCTGATCCGACCCATTCTCACCCTTAGTCATTCTCCTGAATCTGTCCCCAAAAAAATAAATAACAATTTAAATAAAACCAAAAAATGAATGAAAAATAAAGTGAGTAGGAACTAGGTAATTTGGACGATCCAGATTGCCCAATTCCTCGACAGACTTGCCTAATTCTCCAACGAAACCAAACAACTCTACGAGGATCGAACCAATTCATAGTTCCAACAAAGAACATAATCGTACCTTACTTTTTATCAATAAAACCTAAGCCTTATGTTAACTTTTTCTTTTGGAAAAAGTTTATCTAAGGTTGACAAATTAAAATCTAGAAATAAAGTGCACGTTTAGAATGAAAGAAAGACCTATATGATCTTTTACCAGGGGAATATAAATTTTTTTTATTTTTATTTTTTATTTTTTTTCGTCCTTTTCTTTTGACAAAAGATCACTTACATGTGGTCTTTATTATAATAAGATAAATTTAAAAGTAAAATCAACATCTTAACAACTTGATGTCATTGAAAGAACTACGCACTATGTTTGAGAATAAAAGATAAGATTGCAAGAAACAAAAGGAAGAGTGCCAGAGATTACCTCAACCGGACTTATTACACCTCACACCGAGTCACCACCATCCGATGGTGCGGGATCAACGGTCTAGCTTCAGTTTCGAACTGGAAAAGTAAATTTTGGCCAAGCCACACCAATGGATGATCCATGTTTATGGCACTTAAGATTATGACATATAAATAAAGACAAAATGAATCAAATGGTTAAAAGAGGCTTCCTCCTCAATTTAGGAGAAATTGTGTTCAAAACATGCGAGCCATGTATTTATGGTAAATTAACTAAGAAGCATTTCCCTAAAAGGAAAAGGTCTAGTGAACTACTTAGTATTGTTCACTCTGATATATGTTACCCATTAAATGTGAAAACATATAGAGGTATGAAATATTTCATAACATTTATAGACGATTATTCACGTTATGGATATGTATACCTAATTAGTAAGAAATCAGATGCATTAGAAACATTCAAAGAATATAAAGCGGATGTAGAAAATCAGTTAGGTAGACATATTAAAATTCTTCGAACAGATAGGGGAGGTGAATATTGCTCAGCCTTATTTTCTGAATTTTTTAAGGAGCATGGTATAATTCACCAAACAACTATACCATATACACCACAACAAAATGGTATAGCTGAAAGGAGAAATATAACTCTAATGGATATAGTTAGGTCCATGATGAGCCATTCAAATTTATCTCCTTATTTTTTGGGTGGGGCTCTCAACACTGCAATATATATCATTAATCGTGTTCCAATTAAATCTATAGACTTGACCCCATATGAATTATGGACAGGTAGGAAATATGATCTTACTATCTTGAAAGTTTGGGGTTCTTGGGCACATGTGCTTATACCACTACAAAATAGAGATAAATTACAATGTAAAACTATAAAATGCTCTTTTATAGGCTATTCAAAAAATTTTAAAGTGTATAGATTCTATAACCATGATACTAGATCCTTAGTAGAGAGTCGTGATGCTCATTTATTAAAAAATATAGATGCTGAAAATATTTTAAATAACCCTATTGAGACTTACATGAAATTGATAAAGATAAGGGTCGTGAAGACCCTGTTTCTCAGACTCTCTCTACATTTGGTGAGAATGATTCAGTTGAATCAAGTATAGCAGATAGGCCTAAAAGAACTAGAGCCCCACCTACGACTTTAGAAGAATTTTATGTATTTATGAATGGAGATAATTACTCTCCAATGAGTGAGGTTACAATAGATGAACCTCGTAGCTATAGTGAAGCTATTAGCTCACATGACTCAGTTGTGTGGACTCAACCCATGGATGATGAACTTGATTCCATTAAAAGAAATCAAGTCTGGGAGTTGGTTGACCTCCCTATGGTAGCTGAGTATATTGCTTGTAGCACTGCTACAATTTATGCCGTCTGAATTAAACGCTTCATAAATGATTTGAAGCTGGACAGGTTAAATTATTTTGTAATAATCAAGCTGCT